AAAAAAAAAAAAACCAGAAAGAATGAATAAGACCTAGTATTTGATAGCATAACAGGGTGACTATAGTAAATAATAATTTGAGTATACATTTTTAAATAGCTTAAAGAGTATAATTGGACTGCTTGTAACACAAAGGATAAATGCTTGAGGGGATGGGTTTTCCATGATATGATTATACGCATTGCATTCCTGTACCAAAATATCTTATGAACTCTATAAATATATATACTTATTATTTACCCACAAAAATTTAAAAATAATTTAAAACATTTTCTTAGCATGTACTTTGTGCCTATAATGCCACCAGGCACAAAAGACACACCAAAAAATGTAGAAGACACAATCTCTAGAACTTATAGGTTGGCTAGGAAGATAACTACATGCCAAGTACCTAGAGGACAAAAAATCAGCTAACGTTAGTATTTACATACAAACTGGAGTATGGAGAAAGTCAAACCTAAGAGGAATGGTCAGTGTAGAATGGCCTACTACAAATAATGGATCTTGAGAAGGGTTTTTAAAGTGACTAATATGGTTTGGTAGAGAGGAAATAATGCCATTATGACCTTGGGGAAAATCCTGTTTATTCAAAGAGTAAAGTTAAAAAGACTATCTTTAGAATACTGTAATGATGGCTGGAAATACATATGGCTTGATAGTGATTATGAGTCCTGATCAAACTGAGTTGATTAGAATCCCTGCTCCTCCTCTTATTGGGCAGGAAAGTGATCATGTACAAGTTACGTGACCAGGTTCTTAATGTAATGTGGGGATAATAAAACCACCCACCTCAGAAGTTTGTTGTGGAGAAGATTAAGTGCAATTAAAAATAGGTATATAGTACTTAGCATGGTGCCTAATATTTAATAAGTGTTATCTATTTTTATTATTAAAACATGACAAATGATAAACTAGCGAGGCCCTGAAAGAGCCCTCAAATGATATTAAAAGAAGTTATATTTTGGATTTGATTTGTAAAATAACAGGTGATCACTTAAAATTCTTTAGCAATATTTTAATTAAATTGGATTCTGAAAATAAGTACATTTCAGAAAAAGAACAGCAGATTGGTTGTGGGTAGGAGTACGGGAGAAGTGGGGTTAAGTAACTGATGAAATGGAATTCATTTAAGAGGTTACTGGATTCGGCCGGGCGCGTTGGCTCACACCTGTAATCCCAGCACTTTGGGAGGCTGAGGCAGGTCTATCACGAAGTCAGGAGTTCGAGACCAGCCTGGTCAAGATGGTGAAACCCTGTCTCTACTAAAAATACAAAAATTAGCTGTGTGCGGTGGTGGGCACCTGTAATCCCAGCTACTCGGGAAGCTGAGGCAGGAGAAATGCTTGAACCAGGAAAGTGGTGAAGATGGAGGTTGCAGTGAGCCGAGATTGTGCCACTGCACTCTAGCTTGGGTGACAGAGCAAGACTATTAAAAAAAAAAAAGTTACTGGATTCAATTTTAAGTTGTCTAGAAACATTCCAAAGAATGTCAAGCCTTACGAACACATAGAAAACAGCTGGGAAGAAGAAAGTAGCATACTGCTTCTCAAGGAAAGGGCTAACATTTATGCATGTACTAAATGTTTTGCTGAAGAAGAAAAGATTTTTTGGCATTCCAACAAGAGTTACAAGCATCAAGGACATGGTACAATAGATAAAACTAACAATCAGGAATAGAGAAGTAGCCAGGCTCTCAATTAGGAGCCTGGTGAATATGTTCAGCCAACATGTGAATAATGGATTAGTTCATAAAAAGGAGCTTCTGAGAGAAGTGTGTGAGATATCAAGATTATGATCACCAAGGGAACTAGTTAACCATTGCAGTATATGTAAAGATGGTCTTCTTACCCTAGATATTTATAAAAAGTTAATATAAGGTCTCTTCCTATTAGAGAAAATGAAAGGTTTTAAGAAAAGACTTAATACTTGTTGGCTTATTAGTAGAGATGGAGCTTTCCTAGGTAAGACAGAAAAACATAACCTACAAAGGAAAGCATAAGGAAAATGAGTCAAAGCAGAGGGAAGGAAAGGAAATTTTTAAAGATGTGTAAGTAAAGCAAGGAAATAAACAACTTGTTATTAATATAGATATTGAATGATTAATATTCCTATAGGAAATTCAGGATATTTCAAAGTAAAGATCATAAAATAGAGTGGTAGGGAGCATGGAGGCCACGAGAATGTACCCTTCAGAATTGCTACTGCAAGAAGTGTCAGTGACTGATGGCCCCAGCTGCTGTGCTCTGAATCATCATCATGTTTACACCGAGATCTACTTTCATGAGATGCCTCCAACCAATGACTGAGTACAGCAGGGATGCTAAGGTAGATCTATGAGAGTTCCTATCAACTTTGACACATGTTCTTGGGATTGCATTGCAGGCTACGACCCCTGTCTCCCTCCCTCTCTCCCTTTCTCCTTCCCTCCTTGCAAGCTAAGATCCTCCAGGGGCTTTCTCTCTCCCATCCTCCTTGGAGGCTAAAATCCCTCCTGCCCTCCCCTCCTCCCTCCCTTCTTGCAAGCTAAGATCCCTGCCTCCCTCCCTCCTTGCAGGCTAAAATCTATCTCTCTCTCCCTCCCTCCCTTCCTTCTCTCTTCCTTCCAGAGTTACTGGATTCAATTATAAGTTGTCTAAAAACATCCCTTCCTCCATCCCATCCTTCCTTCCTCCCATACTTTCTCCCTCTCTGCCCCACTATGTTCCCTCCCTCCCTCCCCTCACATTCCTTCCTATCCTCCTTCCCTTTCCCTCCTTATCTCCATCCCTTCCTTTCTACTTCCCTCTATCCCTTCCTTTCTTCTTTCCCTCTATCCCTATCTGTCAAAGAGGTAAGATCTGCATCCCAGTTTAATGACTCTTGCAGACTCTTGCGGTTACTACCTATCTTTAGAAGGTTAATCTTTCTTAAATTCACAGTAGAAATTCAACAACAGAAGCCGGGAAGGTTGCAGATTAAAAGG